AAAAGACATGAATGGAGCTTGACGGCCACAAGAACAAAGCATGTAAGTCATTGAAATGATTGATCAATTCTTGTATTGTGAATTTGTGTTGCAACTGACTATCAAGATTATTCTTTAAAACACGAGTATTATAACAATCCTCAGCAAGTAAAATTAAGCAAATATAGCTTGTTGAAAACCGTACTGCTATAAATTTCCCAATGTAAATTTCCCTGAGTGACAAAGGTTTTTTTAGAGATTTTAATACCAGTTTATTCTATTAGTAAATTGTGGGGAAAAGCAACTCTTTGGAATATAAAGCACTTATATCACCATTAAAGCTTTTTACACCTGTATGTATTCCGCTTTCAGGTATGAATTTATCAAGAAAATATGGGATATCTGTACTAAGTACCAGATGGCAATGAAGAAAGTCAAGTGTATTTCTTTATAATGATCTTCCTTGTAAAAGGCAATGGCACTATTTCATTGAACATTCAAGGAACAATCACCTTTTAAAACAAATATGCACATTTTTATGCTCGAGTTACAATGTTTGATTTTGATATCTGCATTTTATGCGATTCATACCTTATTTTTAAGTGTTCCTCAAATATTGATTCAATACATTACCTTGGGCTGACCAATTTATTCCATCAAGATATTTGCTGTGTTGGTGTAATACATGTACTCAGGTGAATAAGATGCTTGTGTGATGTTACGTACTCTGAGTGGATATCCACACTGGGCAGGCTTGAAAAATATGCCTGGCCACAGTGGGATTTGAACCTACAACCTTTGGAATACTGGCCCAATGCTCTGCCAACTGAGCTATACAGTCAGGGCAGTTGGAGTATGCGATATTTCGGAACTGAGTCTAGTTCCTTCGATATCAGTGTAATCTAATAACCATGATATTTGTGAATATGATGCTTGTGTGATGTTACTCTGAGTGCATATCCACACCGGGCAAGCTTGAAAAATATGCCAAGCCACATTGGGATTCAAACCGACCTGACCGCGTAGCTCAGTTGACAGAGCATTGCCATTTGGGCTAGTATTCCAAAGGTCGTAGGTTCAAATCCCACTGTGGCCAGGCATATTTTTCAAGCCTGCCCGGTGTGGATATACACTCAGAGTAACATCACACAAGCATCTCATTTCATCACGTTCCTCCAGATATTCATGAATATCTCGAGGAACTTAATCAAATGAATTGGTTAGCCCAAGGTAATGTATTGAATCAATATTTGAGGAACACTTCAATTGGAACGACAGTGAAGAATTATTAAAAAAAATATTTTATTCAAAAAAAGATTTTCCAAGATAATTGTATAATTACATTTAGTAATAAGAATAAATAATATATTCAATTTCAAATCACAACAAAATTTATTCTTTATTTTTAAACACATACAACACCAATTTAATTAAATAAACTGCTCAACCAATTCTATGCATGTCAATCCCTACTTGATGGTCAGCACCTACAGTAATTATGCTAGCCTAATTTGTACACTAACCCAAATGGTCAAAATAAATGTAAATGTAGCAATCTTGGCTTAGCTAAACAGACCAAAATGTGTACAAATAACTTAAAGGTGATCTACAGTCCGTATGTAAACAAAGCCTTTGTTTACATTTTTGTGTCCAAAATATTGAGCTTTATTCGACAACTATTTATATTTTCAAGCTTCTAGAGTATAATAAATGATCAAGAAACAACAATCAGGCTTTTCAAGAACTCAAAACATAGTTAAACTGTTTGTATCATAAAAAGTGGGCTCATTTGTGCACATGCGCAGATCGGACTGTAGATCACCTTTAAAGTTGTTAGCAGAAAAATTAAGGAATAAATTTAACCCATTGAGTGGCGAAGCAGAGAATTTGCCAGACAATTTTACTCGTCAAGGGGAGAGCACTGGCGCTTAATGGGTTAATTACCCCTCATGTACAGTATGGCCATTAATTGTACTGATAATAAACTGTAAAGATCACAACCAAGCTGACCAAAGCAATCATTAAAGATTGTTGGTACAGCATATGGCTTTAACACTGGTCTCTGGCTGTAATCCTCCTCAAAGATATCGGCACTAAAATGCTTTGAACACAAACGACTATTTTTCATAGGAACAAACTTCACTCTGTCTGGCATAAGTTTGCTTATATTCTTCACCCATATGCTGTGCACTTCAGGGAATCTCTTCTCATCTGGAAAGCTTTGAAGTAAATGAACAATTGTTTTTAGTGTCTAGTTAATACACTGTTCAATACGATACCTATAACTTACAATTATTATAAACAATGCCACACTAGACAACACATGGTTTAGTCCACAATAAAGACAATACAATGAGTGAAAGGCTTTGTACATTTAAAGCTAGTCGTATCTTTATCACATTGTTAAAATTCTCATTTGAAATTTTTTAACATAGCATTATCTGTTAGGATATCGATAGGATTTCATCACTGCATCACATCCATCAACTTGCATGAAAATAAATACTTGCTCGACAACAGCTCCACAAGCTTGTCAACATTTTAAAATTTTGTTCTGCTTTTGCACTGTAGTACACTAACATAAATTGTATTGTATGTTGCTTGCCAATAAATTTCATGAATTCACAATTTTACGCATTCAATACAGCAAATACAGCATGCGTTAAATTATTACAAAAAAAGAGATTATACGAGCCTTATAATACGCATGTGAGGACAGGTCCTTTCTTTCAGTAGATTTTTGGCAACCAGGAATTGAACAAAAAGTTGGCATGGTTGCAAATGTCTTGTTTCAATATAGAAATTTCCGACCGAAATTTTGAATTTACTATTTTACTTCCTTCTGTTTTAAGCAAATTGAAAGGGGGGTGTGAATAACTTTTTTCTTCACGTTGGTATTTTAGGTCAGTGGTGTTCACCATAAATTTAGGTCGATTGTGACGTCAAAATGACGTAAATTTGGCCAAAATCCGCCATGTTTTTGGCCACACATTTTTGACTGACGAGGTATTGGAGCACGATCTCCAGATATATTAAGTATAGCTCAGTGGTTCAGACTAAAAGCGGGTCAGTGAACTCTATATATATATATATATATCTGGAACGATAACAGCGAGCGAAAAGTGAAGCCGACAATAGAAAAATCACGACATAAGTATTCGTCATTGTCTTCGTCATCAACTGTTCAAGAACTTTCTTAATTCTTACAGTATTAAAAATCACTTACATATAAAATTTGTAATTGTTTTGAAAGTTTTTATCACAGTTTTTATATCTTTATTCACTTTTAACCTGAAGATGGAGTTATACTCCGAAACGTAGTTATTAAAATAATTTTTTACTAAGCCCATATGGTCTAATTTATATTCAAACACACGTACATATTCATTTACATTTTGCTGGCAGGCAAATTCCGATCACACATAAATTCTTTAAAAAATAACGTACCAGTGTATTGACTAAAAACTATAAAACTGGTAAACTAAAAACAATTCAAACAATCGCGAAAAATGGCAACGGCAAAGTCACAGTTGCAAGTCAATTTACCTACCTGTGAAATGAAATTTTCTCGCAAGAATATCTCCTTCCTTGTGCATCCAGAACGACAGTACGACACAATATATTTGAAAAAGTGATTCTTTTCTCCACACGGTGAAGTTTTCCTCGACTTTTTTCCGACAGCGAACTCAATGCAGTAAATTTTAGGAGCAAAACAGTTTGCTCCTAAAATGTATTGCATTGAGTTGGGCAGTTGGCCATGTTTTTAATTTTTTTTTCGTGATTGCGTTCAAATTTATACTGGCCGTGCAACGGTTTGCAAGAGGGGGAATGAAACTGACGTCCAATCCGCGTAAACCTGACGTTTGAGGGACTGAGACTGACGTCCAATCCGCGTGAAAGACTGGTATCGAGGCTTCATTGTTTTCACAATCAAATGACATGAATGTTATCGTTCCAGATACATATATATATAGAGTTCACTGGTTGAGCCGAGTCAGCAATCTAGGTCTCCTATATCTATGGATCGAAAGCGTGACCTGTAGGAGCATATCCAAGATGGCGGCCATTCAGGGCAAAAACATTAGAAACGGTATAGGAAAAACCATGTTTTTTGCACTTTGCGTCGACACAATGTTTCCGATCTCCTTCGAGCGACATATTTTGGCAACAACTTTTTATCGCCGAGCTTTTGGTTGTAAATTGGACAGTCTGGGATGAATTAATGTAAAAATATCGTTCGCTGAAGTTTTTATGAAAATATCGTCACTTTGGCACTGGTCAAATCGAGTCATTTACTTGGGTTTAGAGGAATTTATAAAGAAAATTTCTGATTTTTGAGGTCAAATACGTATACGTTTAAGTCTTT